CATTCAACACATAGCCTTACTTAGCTATAACTCTTTTTGTTTGGCTATTACAAATTGGGGGAGCGGATGAGGTTTTCTGCTTGTTAAAATTTTGGGAAACACAACAGCAACCCCATACTCTAGCCACCATTAATTAAGTCTTGTTATAACTATGGAAAGATAATGGCTTAAGTAATAGCCCCCCCCCCCCCCAGTGCTTAATTTTGGAACCTTTTATTTTGATAATTTGATAACTGGCCAAGACAGTTAATGAACCACATGGCTCAAAATCTTAAAATCTCTGTCTGACATGCAGTTGCCCCTCAAATTACTCACATCTTTCCTAGTTTTCTGTTTCTGAAAGTCTGCAGAATCAGTGCATCGTAGAACATTACAATACGGCGCTGAGGCTGTCAAAGAGAGAAATCTCCAGCGAGAGAGCTGGGCTCACTTTGCATAAGTATATTCATTCATTCTCTCGCTTGCTTTCAAGCGAGCAATGTTAAGAGAACAAAATGAAGAGAACTATTGGAGCTTCCTGAGTTCCCCACTGGGCAGCTTGGGACCACAAGAAATAGAATCAAATCATATCTGAGACGGCAGCCATGATCACACCAGGGGAACTAAATGTGCCCCGGGATTGCTGTTTGATGACATCTGGGCTTTGTAAACTCCATTCTTCCCAAAGGGGCTCCATATGTAAAAATCTGATTCTGTTTCAGCCTAGCCGCAAATATTACTGACAAGCGGGATGTTTGGTAAGGCATGTAGCGCATATGGCACAGCAGAAAGCCTGATTATAAAATAAATACAGAAAATGAAATGGAAAGCCTATAACAGGGCCATGTGGCACTACCCGAGTCCTGTAAAAGCTTTCAGGTCAGGCTTGCATGTTGATCGTAGCAGCAAGGGAATTCTGCTGCAAAATCACTTGCTTTACTTTGTCCACTCCCAACTTGAAAGGACTCAGAGTGATACAGTAACAACCTGTGGCTACATAGATACATTCTATTCCAGAATCAATGGAGGTCGAGGACTTGGTATTTTGCTTCTAGGTTAGGTAAAGGGTACAGGGACCCCTGACCATTAGGTCCAGTCGCGGACGACTCTGGGGTTGCGGCACTCATCTCGCTTTACTGGCCGAGGGAGCCGGTGTACAGCTTCCGGGTCAGCATGACTAAGCCGCTTCTGATGAACCAGAGTAGCACACGGAAACGCCATTTACCTTCCCGCCAGAGCGGTACCTATTTATCTACTTGCACTTTGACGTGCTTTTGAACTGCTAGGTGGGCAGGAGCAGGGACTGAGCAACGGGAGCTCACTTCATCACGGGGATTCGAACCGTCGACCTTCTGATCAGCAAGTCCTAGGCTCTGTGGTTTAACCCACAGTGCCAACCGCATCCTGCTTCTAGGTTACCCACACCCAATCTAATTCCATTGTATCTTCCCTCCCTCACTCTAAAGAATACGCATTGAGAAACTCATTTAGTTATTGGGGCAGCGGTGGGGAGAAGGTTCACTGCATTGATTCTGCATTACCCTGCAGTGTGTCCATTTGAAAACAGATGCGGGTGGTTCTGGCAATGGGGGTGTGTATCTGCCAAAGATGTTGTGGTTGGGTGTAGACTACGATAGCAATCACCACTTTCTTCGTTCTTCACTCGGGGCAACTGCAAAGAGGAAAAGGCATGGATAACCTAACTGAGGAGGGTTTTCAACTGTGTCTCAAATAACTACATCCACCTAAAATCAATCTAGATTGAAAGCAGCATACAGTGGTACCTTGGTTCCTGAAGTCAATCCGTTCTGGAAGTCCATTTGACTTCCAAAACATTCACAAACCAAGGCATGGCTTCTGATTGGCCGACTGGCCCCAGAAAAAATGCTGACAGCCAAAACAGATGTTCGGCTTCCAAAAAACATTCGCAAACTGGAACAGGTTTGCAACATTCGGGAGCCAATCAATCAATCAATCAATCAATCAAATTTTTACTATGATCATAGACCAGCATAAATAGGGTGGGGTACAATTATTAAAAATCTGTAAAACATTTTGGAAAGTTAAAATTCTTCAAACAGAAGGTATATATAAAAGGAAGCTAAAAGAAGCTAAAAGAAGGGTTAGGAGCATTAAACGGATGTGGAAGAGCATAAAAGGTTAGTATATAAAGGGCTATGGTTATCAATTTACAAAGCACTCTGATATGAGTGTTCATTAAATCCAGTTTGTGGCACAGGTCTTCATCTGACAAATTTTGATCGCTGCTATGCAGAACCTGGCAACATTGTATCTTGCAGCAGGGTTGGTATCTGAAAGCAGCAGGGAGGTATAGACTTGTCCTGTGCGCCCTGGGTACTTATGCAGTAAAAGTAAAAAAATGTAAAGGACTCCTGGACGGTTAAGTCCAGTCAAAGGCGACTATGGGGTTGCTGCACTCATCTCGCTTTCAGTCCAAGGGAGCAAGAGTTTGTCCACTGGCAGCTTTCTGGATCATATGGACAGCATGACTAAACCACTTCTGGTGCAACCGGTCACCGTGATGGAAACCAGAGCGCACGGAAACGTTGTTTATCTTCCCGCCACAGTGATACCTATTTATCTACTTGCACTGGCGTGCTTTCGAACTGCTAGGTTGGCAGGAGTTGGGACAGAGCAACAGGAGCTCACTCCATTGCGGGGATTCGAACCGCCGACCTTCTGATCGGCAAGCCCAAGAGGCTCAGTGGTTTAGACCACAGCACCACTCGCGTCCCTACTTATGGAGTAGTGGGGAGAAGAGGCTAATATGGATGCCATTCGGTAGCCAAGCCATTCAGGAAGCAAGGTACCACTGTATTCCATCCATATTTTTTAATATTTGGATAACTAAAGGCAGATAGGTGGGGGTTTGGGGGGGCATGTCCTTTAATGCTAGCAGTCTAACAGACCTTCGCATTCAAGATAAGTGGGAAAGAAACACACCCTACAATCATCATGGTACTTCCACACTACCCGGAATACTAAAATAACCCAAGACGCATTGGTTCTTTCAAGAGTCTGAATATGGGAGATACACACACACACACACACACACTCTCCCTTCAGAAGCATAAAGATAACCACAAAATAGCAGTCAGTATTCTAGCACAGAGCAAGTCAAAACTTAACATGAGATGCATTGTTGCCATGTTTTGTTGGATTTGGAGGAGGCTGAATTTCCAGTAGTATCCAAACTCTATGCATCTATGCTTGCAGAATGCAAGCTTCATTTACTGGGAGTCTATAAACCAGTTTCCAGCTCTCTCACACAGAGCTATATACATATGCATATTTCTGAAGGCTTGGAAGATAAACAGGAATTAGGGTCATATTTTGTCAAGAGAACTTTGCCGGGGTGAGAAAATGTAACCTATAAACTGAAAATCCCATGTTAAATTGAAATGCCAGATGTTGTATCATATCACATTTACTAGCAAGCATCTGCATGTTAATATTGGTTTATTCCTGTTTGGCTTTCTGTATGTGTAGCCTCTGGCTAAGCAGTCAGATGTAATAAGGGAAAGCAACATCCACAAACATTGAGAGATTTCTGAAACAAATGAAGTTTCCTAGAGTTTTCCCTTCAATGGATATTTATGTGCTCTTCAAATTGAACGGGTCAGGTAGAGTCCTGGCGATTAGACTTTTGCAAACAATTTTCACAGAAAAGAGAAACTTGGTTCCTTGGTTTCAGGAACGGTGATATAGCAAGGAAACATTACATTACAGGGTTGATATGTACATCATTCTGAGAACGCTTCATTAAGCACAGCTAGATCCAAGCGGGGGGTATGCAGGAGAGTATTTTAACCTATATATTTCTACAAATATGTCCCATGCCAACAAGAAAAAAAATACTGGGAATTATAGTTGCAGAATATCTGAGTGTAGAGATGAAATGAAGGAATTCCGTCTTTTTTTATTCTTTTCAGAACTCAACATTTTCCCTACCATACGTCCTTCTGACATACTGCCCTCAGTTTGATGACCCATGCACAAGACTTTTGTAGAGATTTCAACAGACACTGAAGAATTAAACTCTATAACAAGCAACACAGATGACCTTTGAAAGAGGATGGTCTAGTCTGATTTGCCTAGAATGTATTTAACCTACATATCTGGTGAAGTAAGGGACTGAAAGTTGCTAGTTTTCTCTTCCATTTGGAAGACTGATTCACAGAGAAAAGTCACATCCCCAAAAAACTAAAGGAAAAGACACATACCTTTAACTTTTTAAAAAATTGTATACTACAGTTATTTAGTTTGTGCGTCATAATATATTAGAAGCACAAAAGTTCAGTGATCCCCACACTGAAGGTTTGTAATCTAATTTATATAACTATTTATCACTAGGTTTTTGAGAGAGCATGAGGATAGAAATTGAAATTTTAGCTCTGGGACTGGAACTCATGTTTCAGATTCATAATGGCCCACTAGCCTAATTAAGAACAGTCGACATTTTCCACCTGACGTGGAATTACATTGCAAACTTCTGCAATGAGATGAGATCAAAAGGAGCATGCACGGTTTGTAGGCTTCTCGTGAGTACCTGGTTGTCCACTGTGGCAAGGAAATGTTGGACTTCACCCAGATGCCTCTTGTTATGTTCTTATGAACATAAGTATGAGTCCTGCATTATACACTGCATAGGCCTATTGCTAAAGATAAGGACCAAGCAGGCAAAGCAACTGTAAAACACTCTTATCCACAATTAAGATAAAGCAATTAGGATGCCCTTTTCTCCAGCTTTAACTTCTTCATACGGATATATGAGATCAATCATATTAAAATCAGTAGCACTATTGTAATATAGCCAGTTACAGATTGACCTGTGCCTCCATGGACAGCTGTGAGTCCAAAATGACTCCTTTATCATCCCATTGTCAGTGGAATCATGCACGTATTGCCCATCCCACTGGTCCCACTCTAGTGCTCTTTGCTGCCATTGTTGTGGGCATTGCCTAGGCAACTCTGACAATCCACATGATGCAAAAAGTCAAGTGGTACAGAGGCAATGTGGGAGCCAACCACAATGAGAGGTGAACACATCACAAAATAATGCTTGAATCAGGCCTGAGAGACTCCTATCGATTTCTATATTTTTCCTGGAGTCATCATCTTAGTCATTTCATATTTTCGGAAATTTTACAATATGACACATCTTCCATCCTATGATATGTTACAGATGACTTTTTTTTTTTAAAAAAAAGAATTAGATAGTTACATACTCCTCAAAACATGTTCCTCTCAAAAACTGTTATGCAGACCACAAGATGGCACCAAAGGATTTAAAATCATAAACCTTGAAGGAGGAAGCAAGAAAGAAACCTTGATGGGAATTTCATCAGGAAACTCTACTGTTCACCTTCAGGTGGGTCAATACATTATTAACATAACCCTGCCTGCTCTGACATGCCACTATAATGCCTAATTTAGATTCATTTAACATGCTTAATGTTTCCCTTTTGTGTGTGTGTTCAGAGAAACAGTAAGACTGTATGTATGGGAAATGGTCGACTTCAGGGAGAGGTTTCAAGGGTAGCCAAAGAATGAATCATTAGCATGACTTAAAGGTAAGTGACTTTTGAAGAAAGGATTGATTTAAATGAGAATTTAGCTAGTCTTGTTATCCTACGACAAGACGCAGAAAAGGACAAATTGCAATTTCTATAACCCAGCGATAATGTAAATTGTCTCATTTACACACATACACACTCACACATTACAGCAATATCCTCCTTCCTTGGAACTGCATCACAATCCCTACAATATTTTGGTGAATAAAGGGTTAGGTATCCATAGCAATGTTAAGCAAAATTAGTTCTAATACATTAAAAAGAAAACCGGCTTGCACATAAACAGGAGCTCCTTGTCATTGGATCTGGGCTTTGAAAAGTACAAGGCAATGGGGGGGGGGGAATTGTTTAAGAACAACTTTCTGTTGTAAACATAAGGCTTTCACATCTCGATACACCCTGTTTTATGGTATTCCTAGGCCTGCAAAAACATGAAGGGTTTCAAGCATCTGGCTGCACCACAAACATAATTTAAGGCGACAGACAAATACAATTTTGTAATTTTATCCACATGATCTTTCGTCTTCTCCTTCTCTTCTATCCAATTTAAACCGGCTCTGGCATTCTGATCTCTGTTACTCAAAGCACAGACTTCTGAATTAGTGTGAATATGTATAGGTAGCAAACCTTTAATAGGATTATTTCTACAGTACTTCAGATCATCATTCAGTTTTCAATTCTTATTTCTCAGGGCTCTGCAGAAAAGTCTCTCTGTGAGTGTAGAGGCAGGCACTCCTTAAGAGAAATATATGCATAAATCATTCTCCTTTGAACCAGCGTATTCGTAAAAGCAGAAAAAGATTCAAGGTTGTAATCCTACACAGAAAATTAGATGCAAAGGTACTGTCAGAAGCTTTTGCACTGGGTCTCAAATCTTATGTGTCTTCTCTTCCTTTTTTAAAAAAAAGTAAAACTTTTACTATTTACAATGTTGCTATACATGCTAAAGAACATAGTTTTGGCGAGACTCCCAGATACCCATCATCTTAATTTGCTCAGAGATCGTGTGGAGCGAGTTGTGTGTTTGTGTATGTGTATGAAATGCTAGCTGGCAAATTTGAGAGATCAAGTAGTTCAGTGATATGGTTGATTGATTTCAAATATTTACAGTGGTGCCTCGCAAGACGAAATTAATCCGTTCCGCGAGTATCTTCGTCTAGCGGTTTTTTCGTCTTGCGAAGCAACCCTATTAGCGGCTTAGCGGATTAGCGCTATTAGCGGTTTAGCAGCTATTAAAGGCTTAGCGGCTTAGCTGCTAAAAGGCTATTAAAGGCTTAGCAGCTTAGAAAAGGGGGGGGGAGCGGAAAAAAATCTCAAGACTCGCAAGACATTTCCGTCTTGCGAAGCAAGCCCATAGGGAAATTCGTCCTGCGAAGCGCATTGAAAAAACGGAAAACTCTTTCGTCTAGCGGGTTTTCCGTCTTGCGAGGCATTCGTCTTGCGGGGCACCACTGTATTTGCTGCCCTTCATTATAAAATTCCTGGTCAGTGTACAAGGTACATTAGCAAAACAAGGAACTAAAATTATAGTGACAATCCACAGAAGAAAGCATATCAACACAGTCGTACCTTGGAAGTCGAATGGAATCCGTTCCTGAAGTCCGTTCGACTTTCAAAGTGTTCAAAAACCAAAGCGTGACTTCTGTTTGGCTGCAGGAAGCTCCATTGAATGTTTGGTTTCCAAAAGAACGTTTGAAAACTGGAACAGTCACTTCCAGGTTTCGATTGTTCGGGAGCCAAAACATTCGAGAACTAAGCTGTTTGAAAACCAACGTACAACTGTATAAAAATCTCGTAAAACTGGACATTTAAATCAGCAGGTGTTTTGTTGACTATACAGTGGTACTTCGGGTTAAGAACTTAATTCGTTCTGGAGGTCCGTTCTTAACCTGAAACTGTTCTTAACCTGAGGTACCATTTTAGCTAATGGGGCCTCCCGCTGCTGCTGCGCAGCCATCGCACAATTTCTGTTCTCATCCTGAAGTAAAGTTCTTAACCCGAGGTACTATTTCTGGGTTAGCGGAGTCTGTAACCTGAAGCTTCTGTAACCAGAGGTACCTGAGGGAAGCATCTTCATCAACAAGCCCTGAAATACAACTAAGATTGAAGCCTGTCATCCTTCAGGGGTGAGGTGATGCCACCGCAAATAATACCACCCCATTGCCACAAGATATACATGTGCAGATGATTGAACAAGGAAGTCCTGATCTCTTGTTGTCTGTCTTGAGAGACAATGGAATATGCCTCCAAGGGTGAAGTCAAACAGCTGCATTTGCAGCACTGAAGTGACCTCCCCAAGGTATACCTGAAGGGACAGGTTTGTAAGGGGCAACACATTCTCTTGGATAGCTAGGTCGCAAGTCGCTCTGGACTTCATATGTCAGCAACAACACTGTGAACCTGGCCAAGTCGGAGTTCAAGTTGTGATTTCTCTTTATGCCAGCATCCAAATTTCAAGAACATTTGTGCTGGCACAGAGTGGCCAATTATGCCTCATGTATGCAAGAAGAGGTCACAGGTGCACATAAAATTCACATGCACTATATATAGCTACACATTTTTAAAGTACCTACTATAATTTGAAAAGAAATAGAATCCATCACACATGGTGATGATTGAATGACCTGTGACCACTCTGTCTACTCATCCATCCTTTCATTCATTCAGCCTTTATTGGCATAATTTAGACAATAAAATCATAAAAGAGAGAGAGAAAAGAGGGAAAAAAACCCAACCAACCATAAAACGTTGGTAATCCAGATATTTTAAACACATAAAACATGTTAAAGATTCAGTAGCCACCATTAAGTAAAATTAAGTTGTTTAAAAATTGACTTTAAAAATCTCGGCTAAATATCCTGAAACAATCTCAATAGTTCTGGGTATATCATCCCTCAACAGATATTGGATTACAAATCCTTTGCAAGTAGATACTTTAAGCTTCAAAGGGGCCATGAGTAGGTCTCTCCGAAGAATGTTGAAGAAAGGGCAGTCCAAAATTATATGGTATATTGTATCTGGTGTATTCATACCACAAGAACAAAGTCTATTCTGGAAGGGGATGTTTGGCAACCTTCCAGACAGTTCAAATGAGAGGGATGCATTTAAGAAGGCTGACATAAAAACTCTACTCTCTGTGGGCAACTTCAAGGTCCTGTTCTTGGTTCTTTGCTTCAAACCAGATTTGGATTGGACAGTCCTTCAAACAGAGAGGATACTTTGAAACAGAGGACTGTCTCTGTCACGTGGTACTTGTAGCCACTCTGCATTGGCATGTAAGTGGCTGAGGTTGCCCCATGTTACCCTGGCAGCGAAAGAATTGGCAATGCTGCAGCAGCTCCCATGCCATCACAAAAGCATGGGGTGGGGATGCCTTGGGGATGCACCTGAAAGCATAAAGTAGGCATGTGACAAGTAAAGGTAAAGGGACCTATGACCATTAGGTCCAGTCGCGAATGACTCTGGGGTTGTGGCGCTCATCTCGCTTTATTGGCCGAGGGAGCTGGCATACAGCTTCCGGGTCATGTGGCGAGCATGACAAAGCCACTTCTGGCAAACCAGAGCAGCACACGGAAATGCCGTTTACCTTCCCGCTGGAGCGGTGCCTATTTATCTACTTGCACTTTGATGTGCTTTCGAACTGCTAGGTTGGCAGGAGCAGGGACCGAGCAACGGGAGCTCACCCCGTTGCGGGGATTTGAACCGCCGACCTTCTGATCGGCAAGCCCTAGGCTCAACCCACAGCGCCACCTGCGTCCCATGCGACAAGTAGATGCTTGCAAATACATGCTTATGCTACACAGGAGTTGTGCCAAGTAAGTACACCCTCCGCGGCAATCCTAAGAATCTGCAAGGATGCATTTAAATTTCACACAGTTTGAAATGTTTGGGTATGGCACACTGGCTCCTAAAATACACTGTCACCCTGTTGGTAGCTTATTGCATAAATCTACCTAAATACCCATAGTCAGGATCACCCTTGCATCTTCCCCCACCTAGTTCCCATGCCATAATATTCTGTTCAGTCTATTTTAAGCAGTAAGCTCATCTAAGGCCAGTTAAGGCAAAGAAGAACATATCAAAACTGTGCATAATCTAAATCTATGTCTATATAAGTATTAATGCTCTCAGGTTGTTAGTTGTCGTTTTTTTTAAAGAATTAACTCTACCTGCAGTAGATATTCATAGTCAGAGCTAATCTCCAGAAAAGTAGATCTGGCCTATGACTTACAGAAAATAAAATGAATCTACTTCATTCCCCATGTATCCATTAGTCTCTCTCTCTCTCTTCCCCCGCCAACGTCCTTTAAAATTTATGCTTGCATTTTGTCAGCAACTGACGATTAGCATTAATGGACAGCTATGTAGCACATTCTCCATCAGAGGAGGAAATCCCCCCCCCCAAAAAAAATGTCAAAGTGCATAAGACTTTAAAACTGCAAGAGGTGTATATTTAACCAGAACTTGTTTCAGAGAGCAAGGACTATTTTAGCTATGATGTCTCTCTCCTACACAGGGCTAGGATTCTCCACATGACTGCTGCAATGCCCTGTGTCACCAGCAGGGGTGCAATTTCAAGTTTCTGTAGGGGAGGCAAGATTCGAAACAAGGTTCAAAGCCCTGTTCTAGTATATATTCAGTATTAAATTGCAACAGGCCTATGTTGCCTTTCAAAACTCCCCTCAGATAGCCAGTTATTTTAACCACCACTTTGTATTGCTTTTAAACGTTTTTGTGTTGTTGTACACTGCCCCGGTGATTTGAAGATATGCCAGTATATAAATACTTTACTAACTGAATAAAAAAACAAGTTTTAAAGTCTGCATGCTAATATTGATTCAGGTTTTCTCAGAGTTGTACTTCTATCGTCTTCTTTGGCAATCCCTCGTAGCCAAGTAAGATTGTCTTCCATAAACACGCTTTTAACAATGAGTCCGTAAGTGACCGTGGAAGTCAATTCTGGATCCACACATCCTTCCACAGTGGGGACATTGGTTTCCGGGCAGGAGCTGATCACGCTGTGCATTTGCCAAGCGTGCCTTCCTCCTAGCAAGTTTCTCCCTTGTTCGAGTGTCTTCAAAGCCCGTGACATCTTTGGTAAAGGCTGTTCTCCAAATGGAGTGCTATACAACAACTGATACACAAGAGAGAAGTACTGGCAGATTCAGGATAACCCCAAAATAAACACAATTGCCCACCCACCCCCAACAACAAAAGAAAAGTGTGTAGGGTAAAAAGCTTTAAAAAGCCAGTCCCATAATATCTCAAGGGCATAGAATAGGAAAAAAATTGCAACCAGGTAGGAGGTGGGAACAGAATGTAATGCCTGGAATATGAGAGAAGAAGATTTAATAGGCCTGTTTCACACATCATCAAAAGCTAAACCATGCAAATACATGAAATTGTGGTCTCCAGGTGAGGAGATCACAGCCTTTTTGCTGAGATCCAAGGTATGGATCAGGATGTTATCCTAACTGAAGCTCATAGTTTCCTGGACACCCCACCAGTTGTAAATTATAGGACAACTTGGGTAACAGCACATGGTTAGTCTGTCTAAAGGTAAGCCACAAGCTGATGTCTGAACAAAATACTAAGCCACATCATGTCTTAGTGTGGCACAGTGGACAACAAACAGGAAGGATCAAACTGAGCATGATGACTTCTGTATGCTTGCGCATTCACAAAATGCCATGGTCTGGCTTAGTGTGATATAAAAACCCAAGAAATGTTGGAATAACCCCGCTTCCTGAAATGCCTGACTAGTCCTGCTTCTGGCCTCTGGGCTAGGTCATCTGAATTAGCCTTCCTGGAAAAATGGCCAATCTTGGGCTCAGAGCTAGGGTTGCCATATGTCTTCTTTTCCCAGGACATTCCCTCTTTTTCATGTGGATGTAAAATGAGAGCAGTCATAGCAATCCATAGTTAAAAGGAGAAGTTGGCAAATGTGTCTTCTTTTTTTGCTCTTCAAAATATGGCAATCC